CAAGGGAACCGGGTTTACTGCGTTGTTCGACGTGATGGTGGATGAGTTGTTCGACTAGGTGAAACTAGGAACGTAGCTTAGAAAGTTCGACCTTTTGATACAACGGTCTTTACTCCTATATCGATGCCTGACTCATAGACGACGAGCGAGGACTTATGGACAGTGCGTCGTCCTGAAGATCGAGCGAGGAAGTCGAGAATGACCACTACCCCAAGCGAGGAGGAGCAGAGACTTGAATGAATAACCAGGTCGAACTTAGGGTTCAACCGACTAATGGTACAACTACTTATACAAGTACCGACTGCGCACGGACCATCGTGTCTATGTGGTCGTGTTAGTGAAGAAAGAAACGTAGTGGTACGATACCAGGCACGAAGTGCGCACGGACCCCATTATGTAAGCTACATAATGTTCAACCTGCGGGTGAGCGCTAAGACAGGCGCCAGTATGGGCGCTAGTAGTACAAGGAATAGAACGGAAAGACAAATGTTTCAAAATGGATGATAGCTCAGACAGCAAGTAACCACTTGTTATGATCAATGCACTTTTTTAATTAAGTTCAACCCCTGTGGCATCTGTGTGTGCATATATAATTCCTGACTATTGCTTGTTATCAAACAAAATAACCTCTTCTCTTGATGAATACAACCTGCTTGATGACCTCGCTAGTGTTGTTGCTTGACTCAAGTGCATCCCTCCCCTAGACCCAGATGCCTCACCTCCCACCCAAGTTTTACACCAGTGACTAGAGCAAGAGCTCACTACCATTGTTCCTACCACCAGAGTGCCTCTTGCAGCAGTTTCCCAGCATTGTACTCAGAATTGCAAAGACCCTTGTTCCCAGAACTGCATACAATCCTGTGTAGACAAGGTCCTACAGCATATTGGAGAATCCCCTGCCTCCTCTATCAAACTGAAGAATATTCTTTCTACACTGCCAGCAGGATCTCATGTGCTTGTTGATGATGCCTCTTTTTCTCTTTTTTGCCATGGCTATGAGTGCTGTAAGGATATGGTAGGTCTTTTGCAAAATCTGCCACCTTACACTTTCATTCCTTTATAGTCAAATGCAATAGCCCATGTTGAAGGATCTATGCCCTCAACCAGCTGACTTTGCACAAGAGCTGAGCATGCAGCTAATATTACTAATATTTAAGAGTGCATACAAGAATGTCACTCTGTATGTACCTCTTTTTTATATTGCAGAGCTCCTGCATTCAATAACATCCTTTCAGTCTCTTCAGCAACTCACAAATGCAACCAATTGCTCAGGTCATCTCTATTGCATATTCAAGCACATTTGAGTCATTTTATTTGTTTTAGACTGGAATGTGTATGTGGGCCTTGGCAGCCTCACATTCAAGTGTAAATGAAACATCTATACATTCACTGCTCAACCTCATATCAACAGAGTCTTAAGCAGCCTAAGTAATCACCAGCAATCTACCCTTCTGAAAACTGTTTACAAGAATGATATCAAAGCCTGGAATCACAAAGCTGAAGCCATTATCACAGCTTGCAATCACCTACTAGAGCTGTATGACCTTGTATGTACAATTCCATATATGTATTACTTACTACTCATCTTCAACAGTATGGGGCAGCAGTCCTTCTTGATCCAGTGTGAGATGTTGATTATCTAGGAGTTCATTGCTCACATTAATTTCCACATGTTTTTAGAAGTGTCACCACTGCTCTTGCTAATTGGGCTGACATGATTATGCTCCACCAGGATGCAGGTTGTGTTGTTCCTCACATTACTTGGTAGCATTGATGATGCAACTTATGTGTGTTGCTTTTTCTGCTCTCACCTACCTGCCCATATCACCCAGTAGCACTTGTATCATTATGTACCAACTATAATACACCAATCTTCCTTACAGGCAACTGGAAAGCCTTGTTATCCTCATTACAAGATTATAAGTGCATAATCAAACTGTGCATAATATGTGGTCTGGATGTATGCTATACTGGCAATCATATACCAGCTTGTGCACTCGACTTCCACCCCCTTTCCTTGCTATCATGCACTGCACAGATCCCCTGCATGGTTTGTTGGCAGCTGTCAACCAACTGCATGGGTCCACTTTTCCAGCAAATTCTGGTGACATGTACAATGCTGCTGCTAACATCCACCCTTACTCTTTCAGTTTTGTATAGTCCTCAACCATCAAAACCCTCATACATGCAGGAGGACTAATGAGATTGTGTCACAATGGTTATCAATAGTTGGTGAAAAAGAACTGGCATTAACACTCACCCAGCTCTGGAAGTCAGCCATTATTTTCAAGTATGCATGTTATTTCCTACAGTTTATGGTAAGTGGTCATGACCTCATAACAGCATGAGCACTGATGCATTTGTACAAATGGAAATTACACCTGGGTACAAGGGTGAAAGCCATGTGCATGCTGTTACAGTTTGTGGCTGGGCAGCCTATCTTGTCACTGCCATTTTATGATTTGCACATGATCTAAAAAAGACAATGTGTATATTTTAGCATAGTGCAACCTGTTCAATCAGATTCAACAGCAATTTGCTCAGAGTGAGCCATTTTTTATGCTTGTAGTATTCTATGCACTTACATTTTGTAGTTGTTGATGATTACCACCTACCCTGAGGATAGCACACCAAGGTTTATTATGTTCACTAGGAGGTGATGCTCAAAACTGAGGTGGTCCTCAAGGTGTCAACAAAGTCCTTTACAGGTGAACATTTGGCACACATTCAAACATGCACTATTTTGGTCACACTATTACACACTGCTGTTCATCCTAGTACTTTATCCTTTTCTCATCCAGAATTCTTGAAATGTGACATGGTGTGACTCTTTATTTGATTTGCCTTCATTGACTGATTGACAACAGAGTGCTTGCATGGGGAATTTGTGCTTTTACAACCTTGGTAATGGTGAAACACATATTGAGTTTTGGATGAGTGCTTATAAGGTAGTATTGGTCACTGACTTAATGTGTTTCTTATTCTGATATATTTTCAGAATCACAACAGTCTTATTGTGTTTGTAACATCTGTATATTTGGGAGCTGGTCAAGCTAAGCCAGAATATTATTACTAAACCTAGCATTTGGCAGCCCCAATTCTTTCTTGAGTGGGGTTTGTTCAAATACAAGGTTTTGTATTTGCCTTCATGTATGCCATACAACTCACCATTTAATTATTCCACATAACAGATGATGGATGAATATTTTAGTAGCACTGTCGCTAAACATAAAGTAATTGACAAAACTCAGCCACTGTGAGTTAATCCCCCTTCTCTTCTACTATACTAATATGTGTCCAGTTTGCTCACAGGCCGTCCTAGTGGCAAAGGACTAAGCCAGAAGCCTGCCAGTCCTGCAGCAATTTCAAATAACATCCAGGATCTTGCTAAAGTGACCAAGCTACCCATAGCTGGTGCCTCTGCCATTTACAGGGGTGTTGCTGATCAAGTATGCTACATCATTGGTGGTTATTATTGGATGCTTATCACCTCTAGTGTGCTGTCATTTTAGGGAGGCAGCTTGCCACCTTTATGCTTGGTCATTGTCAAGAAGTTATGCTTTTGGATAGCCACTATGCCTGTACTGCAGCCCAAGTGCCTATAGTTGGTATTATGACTGGTGAAATACCACTGGAAACTTTGCTCATGCAGGTATAGCATATTTCCACCTTCTGTCATAAACTTCATTAATTATAAATACAGAGATCACTAAGTACAATGGAGTCCACCTTGCTGGCAGTCAGGGTTCTTGCTAATGCATCCATGTCAATTGAAGATCCTCAATCATGCAAACCTAAAGTACTTACCTCACACAAGAGGCAACAGGCTATTGTGTGTTCATAATTTAGCCACTTTCATTCATGTTCCAGGACCTTGCAGATAGTGTCAACATTATGGCTGTCAATGTAAGTGTCCAAATCATTTTGATTGATGAAGAAGCCTGACCCTAGATCATATACAACAGGGACTTTCAGCATCCACCATGCTGTTGAACAATTGGTTGCAAGTGGTCACAATATCAGGAGTCCTCCCACACAGCTTAGTAATTGGTGCTAATATATTGTTTGCATGACATTTCATGCAACCAACAAGTGTCATATGCTGCACAATTGATAGGCCCCACTCCACTGATTGCACAATTTGTGGTGCAAAAAATAGCACAGCAAGGTGTGCTCACTATTGTGCAATGAGTGGCATGATAGTGTGACTGATGGTTTGGCAATGGGTATATATAATTGTTGCACTATGGGTGTCTTTAGTTATTCTTCTACCCACCCCCCTCCCTCTTGATTATGCACCTTCTGGCTATCCACAGAGATGATGCTTACCTTTAGCCTTGAGGAGGTCCACTCTCTGCTTCACTTGCTGCACCAATCTGGTAACAGCTCTTTGTCTCAAGCGATAATGCACTTAGAGGCAGCTGTGTCTTCTGAGGCATAGTCATACTCCATACAATTAGCTCACAATGAGCCTATTGAGTGTTAGTTACTTTGAAGGGTGCTTGCATGGCTTACATCAGCTTGTATTAGACAATAATATAAAGGAGACCATGACAACCACATCTGTGTTGGCTGTCCAATCAGATGACAATGGTATGTGTCAATTCTTATTGTAAGAATGAATACTTATCATCAAAAAGCACATGTGATCTTTGATTAAAATGTGTCTCAGGCATCCTTACTTGTGGGTCCATTGCAATCAATTTGCATAGGTGCTCACTCAGAGAGGGTAGCAGCAAAATGTGTTGTGAGAGAGAAGCCCTGGATGGATTCCAATACTCAGACCTCCTCATTGCTGGTGTTATTGGCTAGCAGGGATGCTGATAGCAATTTGGAAGAATGGATTAACTCAGACATTGCACTTCCCACCAAACCAGATGGTGACATACTAGACAAGCTAGCAACTATTATACAGCATCGTCAAGTGAAGCATGCTCAAGAAATTGATATAGGTTTTCATGTTATGATTAATTTAATGTAATTGGCTTTTGCTTGTGAAAGGTGAGTAGTTGTATCTATGATGTTAATGTATGAAGACTCAGGTATCACTAGCATAACTATTAAAACTAAGCAAAGTCTTACTACCATGTGGAAGAATCTACAGACTGGCACAAACAACAAACCTTCTCTAGGCACATTTCAGCATTGGGTGTGTAATGGAAATCCTTTTATTTCCCTTGCTGCAGGTGAAAGCATCTACATCATCCTGCTGATTTCTGCACAATCTTTGAGATCAAAAATTTGCAAAATGGATGTTCAAGTGATCAATGGTATTGCCAATATACTTTGAGCTCCTGATATAGGTCAGTCATTTTTGCATTGTATGTTACAGATTTTGGTTACCTAAGATTGTAGATGATCAATCTGAGGCAATTGTTATCAGACAGCTAGTTCTCAAGATAGCCTATTTTGAGACAAAAGCTGGCCTTTAAGTTCAGATCTTTGTTTAGCGATAGTGTTTTGTCACACTGTGATGTCCCTGTGACTGCTTTGTGCAGCAGCCTTGATATAGGTGATAAGATGTTTGCCAGTATCAAATTGAAGTAAGTGATTCATGATTTGCATTTTCACTAAGTAACACAATTTCAGAGCTTTTGCATATTTGCCAAGAGACAAGCAAACATGGCAATCTTGTTATCAGTATATTCCTTCATCGCCATAGCAGAACAATCTGGTTTTGCCTTCTATGCATGTGATCACCACTGGTTATGCTGCCTCACACTCAGATAATGTCAAGATGCCTGCATATTGTCTTGGATCTAACAACTACACATGGACAAAGACTGAGCACATTCTTGCCAAAGATGCCTCTAAAGCTTCTGATTTGCATGATCTGGATAAAAAGGTACATGATACTGATGATATGACTTTACTTCAGCTGACTAGTTATTTAGCTACATCAACATTTCATTAGTGAAAGAAAGGATCCCAATACACCCTACCTTGAGATTTCACCTTCATGCATATCTGGGTGAGCACATTTACCTCTAATTGAACTAGCTATTGATGCCACATTTTAGGGGGTCATTGAGACTTGAAACCAAAGATGGAGAATTTATTGCCTTTATATCATCTTCAATACCAGATGAGCTTCGACACAAGCTACTAAATTGCTTGAAAGCAGTTTTGTCTAGTGCAAATGCTTTGACACATACAGACTCAGCAGCACATGGATAAAATTATTCCTATGAAGCCTTTTATTTGGCCCTATACAACCAGTACACCACTCAGGTGAGTGTCTTGTTCTAAACAAAATGTGAAACTACATTTATATTCTGTTATAGGGTGACAATACACCTACAAATGCTAATCCAAGAATGCTTGAGCATGAAGATGGTAGAAGAACAAATTACGCGCAATTTATGCCATATCAATCAGCTGACTGCAGCAATCATGAAGAGTTATACAACAATCTCAAAAAGGTTTTTAAAGAGGTTTTGAGACAAATTGATGAAACCATAAGCTTGTAATTATGTTTGTATTGTTAACAAATTGCTAATAATCATGCAGCTTAGGCATTATCTCCCAAAGAAATACGAGGCCCTCAATATTGATACAAAGTGTTTGCCATTTGGTGATCACTCTGCATTTCATCCATTCCTGGGCCTTGTTCTCAACATCAATGTGATGACAACAAGCCACAGAGATGGCAATGATGGGCCCTTTTTGTCTTGTGTAAAACATTGGAGACTTCCAGGGTGGGGCACTATGTCTAGCTGAGCCAGGGTTAGTGATTCCCCTTGGCAATGGAGATTTGATACTTTTCAAATACCTTGAAACAAGTCATTTTAACTTACATTATGTTGGTATTCATGCCTTCATCACTTTGAAAACTGACAAGGCTTTCAAAACATGGGTTATCAATCATAATGGCTGGCAACACAATGATTTCTTTAATAAATAGCATTCAGCAAAAGTTTATATGTTCCTGTAAGCCCATTTTTGACCATCCCATGCATCACTAAACTTGTATGATGATGGTAGGAGATGGCAATGCAAGCCATTGGGAGAGACAAGATTTGTTCCCAATCAAAACTGAGGGTGGCCCATAGTTGATTAGCATTGGTAAAGGTGATAAGTCAGTAAGGAGTTCACGGATAATTCTGCATAGTGCAAGATGGGGAATGGAAAGTTCAGAGGTCATGTACTCAGAAGAATCAAAGCTGGTTCTGTTGCCCAGGATGCCAGTCATCAACACTGCAGGGGATTTAGCATGCACAGCTGCAATCAGATCACTAAACAAGTCACCAGTGAGGCCCATAGTGGTACCACCAGGGATAGTGTTTGTCATGTTGCCAGTATGTTTCCTTCATAAGTGCACCAGAATACCGATGTCATCCAAGGTTGAAGCCATACTAGTCCATTGCAACCCACCCCCCAAAAGTTGGTTTGTTGTCAGTGTAAAGCCTATTGTGTTTGGTTCAGACAAGTAATCAAGAAACAATGTGAGTTTGTTGTTGGAAGCATGATCAGCCTGCATATAGCTGGCCAGTATGACATTTGTGATGTTATTCATCGCACCTGATAGCCCATTCAGCTGGTCTACAAGTTCACCATGCATTTAGTCAATAAACAAATACAATTAGTCATAAAGGATCTATCCCACACCAGCCATTCCTGAATTCATTTGCAGGCTGTTGGTGCCTAATTCACTGCTAGAAAAACTTCCTACTGTATGCCCCTACACTTTAGCTACATATACTTGCTAATAGTCAGAGGTAAATACCACTTGTGATAACCTCTAGTAATGAGACCTGGGCAGGATCGACCTGCTGCATCACTCATAGCAGATGCCCAATAAATGTGTATGCTACTGCTGGTTGCAAACAGGAGCTATTGATTGCAATAAGCCCCAATCACATTGAAAGCCAAGCACTCACACTTACACAAATTGAGCTGCTTTTTCATTGCCCTGGAAGTCTGGCAATGCTTATGTTTATACCATAGGTCACCCTTAATGGTGCATGCTTTCTTTTTTCTGGCCACCAGGTGCCTTTTTATTGCTCCTCTTCTTGTTTTTCTGATTTTGAGAAGTTGTTGGCATATTAGCATAAGGCATCAAGGGAGAAGAGATGCATCAGAAATGACACACCAGGGAACAGGCAAGAAGACAATTCACAGGAAACACAGTCACATTATCATCATTGAGTTGCCAATGTGTGACTGAATAATGTCATCTGTAATTGCAAATATGTCACATCAGATAAGGTTTCTGTCTGGCTCATCCCACCACCTTGCCCCAGCCACTCCACCTTCTGGTCCAGCCACCTCCAGATTGCTGTTTCAGCCAGGCACACTGTCACGAGTTGACATGGTGTTTAGCTGTTTTTTAAATTTTTTTTCTTTTTGTGGGCTTAAACCCATGACCTTTGTACTATATGCTTGAATGGACAAGTCATTATCTACTGTATGATTAGATTAGATGGGACAACAGTGCACAGCACAGCCCGGGCTCTGCTGACACAGCCACTATGACTCACCGGCTTCCAGGGCTACGCATAGACCAGCTGTGCACGGACCAATGCACGCAGCCTCCCCTAAACTTCCCCTGTATATAAGCTGGCCTCTGCTGCCCTAAGGACCTCGGTTTCGACCTCTTGTCCCTAGGTCAGTAAACCCTCTGTACTTACTTACTTTTCTTTACTGACTAATATATTCTTGTCCCTAGCCTTGAATTTGAGCACTACTCATTTGTCGCTTTGGTCAATACCCAGTCAAATGCCTCTGGGCTTTAGGTTTGTTTGTTCCCCTGTCGCTTGACTTCAAGTCACGACATTGAGTTTGGCAAATACTTCAGTGGGATTGTCAAGAAGAAGAGTTAGCAACATTTTATTGGCAACATGG